GGTGCTCTCACTCCCCTTAAGTGGAGTTCTCTATCCTGTTGTTTTGAAGCCCATCGTTCTGGTTTATTCCTCGCTTGCTTTGGGGAAGATTTGGGGCATGTTTTCAGCAATTTTCTGTCACTCGGGAATTGCATTGTTTGATCAGATTTTGAGATCCTGCATCTTGAGGACAGTAATCCAGTATCTGCTTCTTATGGTGGCCAACAGTAGAAACTTCAGAAGAACGTTTTAGCTGACAAGAGAGAGGATATTGCCACCCAGTTCCAGGATATGATCTGTTATCTTTTACAATATATCTGAATATGCTTTAAGAAAAGATTGTTGTAATTTTAAAAGATTGGTAATTGATAACCTTGCATAGCTTTTGGACTGAGTTATCTTGGGGTTAAAATTTCCTTTGTGTGTCCAGACAGTATTTTAATTTAACATCTCTTTGGTCTGTGTGCTCATGAGAAGAAGAGATGCGCCTTTTCTCCTAATTTTAGCTCTTGTGGCTTAGGGATGGCTTCTCTTTTGTATTCCTGGTCTATTTTTTTCCGTGTTTCATTATTATTTGTAATCATGATACTTTTCAGGTAGTTTTTTATTATCTATTTCTGAACTTCCTTTCTCAGAAACAGCTAGTGAAGGTGAGTGAGCATCAGTGTGCATAGAATTTCAGATGGATTTTTAATTTTTAGTTCTCTAAAAACTTAAGAGAAAAATGTCAGAGTGCTTATTTTAAAAAGTCTGTCTATTAGTGTGGGAAAATACAATTCAATCCCTAGAAAGGTGGAATAATCCACCAGCAGTCTGTGGCTTTTACTACCTTAATTGAGGCTGGTAGGTGAGAATTTATTGAACGTTATAGACAAGTTTCAGTCTAGAAGATATGTGATTATCTTGTCTTTCTTAATGGTCCTTAACTTGCCCCAGATTCTTCCTTTAAGTCCAGTAAGTGATTATTTTCACAACAAGCTGAAAGTACAGCCTTCAGCACAAGTTCTAGAGTCATGTGTCTTGGTTTCAAGCCATGATGATTATTATAAACAATCCTGGTTAGAGTTGTTTTCTCTTGGGTCATCCTAGAGAACAGTTAATTAAAGCCTTTAGCCTTTTCTCCCCCTGTTTTCTTCTCTCTGTGACTTGTATTTTGAAAGCTTCCATGGTGACCTTGAACTGAATTTACTGTTTATTGGCAGGGAGTGCGGAGAGCGCTGAGTTGGAGTTACGGAGCAATGAATACTTCCTACAGGTCGCTGTAACTTCACACCAACAACTCGCTTCACTGAAACTCATCAGTATGATTGTGCTTTTTGGTTTTGTTTTTGGGTTTTTTTGCTTGTTTTTTTTTGTGTGTGTTTTATTGTTGTGGGGTGGTTTTTTTTGGAGGGGAGCAGGGGTGTTCCCCCTTGTGGACTAGCAAAAGCATTCAACTTGCTGTAATTTGCATATAATTCATATAAAAGTTTAAGTTTAGATGTAGGGCATATTGATTTGTACCTGCAGAAAAGCGTATTCTTGCACTTTGCTGACTGATATCTTTCCCCACTTCCCAGGGAACATGGGATTACTAAATAACTTTAGACTGACCCTGTGACTGACTCCTTGCTTTCGAAGTCCAAAGCAGTTGTTGGTTCAGCTTTGGCACTTGCAAAGGCTGTTTATTGCTAGTATGTTTTTAGATGGTTATTTGGCAGTTTAATTGCCATTAACCCTCATTCCAAATCCTGGGCTTTGACAGTCAGCACCGGAATTTGATTTTTGAGCCTAGGACTACACCGAATAAACTAGGAACTTTTTGATGTTTGTCTCTTGCGTTCCATCCTTAGTATTTTTCTCCTGGGTAGGTAGAGAGAGAATAGTTGGGAGAAGCCAACAGCATTTCTGCAGAGCGGCACCTCTGCATTACACAAGGCTGTAGTAGAAGTGAAGCCAAGCGCTTACCCGGAAAACTCACTCCCAAGTGCCAGTGTTGTGCCTCTTTGCCATGTGGTAGTAGGTAGTTGGAAGGTGTATGTTTTTTAAAAAAAAGGGAAGGAAAAAAAGAAGTGGCTAGATATTAATGCTGAATAAAACATGTAAAGGGTGGGTATGTTGTGTCCCTATGTGTCTAAGTTAGTATTGATGCTTGGAATGCTTGAAAGAAATAAGGTATCTGTTGAAAGGTATATTTTGGATATGCCTGTGTAGTCATGGCATTAAAAAAATGAATCTTATTGGTGTAATTTGAGTCTTCTGTTCTCTAGGAGGAAAAAAAAACCCGACTGTAATACTTCTGTTTACTGGACAGTTTAAGCTGATGTACTTTCTATACAGGGCACTGTCTAAGCACCTACCTTCCCGTCACTCCACTGAAGTTATCCTGTCAACCTGAGCCCTAAAACTCTCCCAGTTTGTTCTCAACTTGGATCAGCCCTGATCTAATTTGCTGTGTAGCTTTTGTAATGCCTCAAGGGAGCAGGGAGGGGGGCAGATAGCATAAATTGGTATTGCAGCAGAAGGGAACAAAGCAGAACCGTATCAGCTCAGTTTGGTGTTGCAGAAGGATTTAGCAATTTAGTACAATGTCCACTTGTGGCCATCTCTTAAAGGGAACGATGGACAAAGCTTTGAGAGCCTTGACAAGAGTAGTGGTTCAGAAAAGTAGGGCTGGTGAAGGAGATGGAAAGAACAGGGATCTTTTTGTTGTTTGTTTTTCCTTCCGCTTGACTCTCAGTCTTCTCTCTAGAGATAAGTGACAAGCATTTCAGTCCTCAGAAAGCTTAATAAAGATGGTAGTGATGCTTATTCTGATTGAAGAACAAAAAGAAATCTTTGTTTTACAGCACAGATGACTTAAGCTTACTGTTAAGAAAATACTTTCAAACTGATCAAATGGGGGAACCACTGGACAGGATAATGGAGGAGGTCAGCCTTTTTTTCTTTGATAACTGGTGGAAATAGCATAGGTGTGTGCCCTGATGCAGCACAATTAAATCTTTTGAACCCTTTTACAAGGCAGTTTGTGTTATGTCTTGCCCTTCTGCAGATCAAAATAATTTCAGATTTGATGGCTTTGTAATTCTACTAACCATAAAACTGCTTAACACAGTTAAGAAAATTCAGAAGTAGTGTTGAGTAATACCTTTAATAGATTCTTCAATCTTCAGTGTCAGACTTTGATACAAGATGATGCCATGTGCAGAGCTTAAAAAAAGGTCAGTTTAGTTATATCTGAGCAAGCCCACTTGTCAAACTCTTTTAGTGTGGAACTAATTAAACTCTCAAAGCAGTAACTTATAAGTTACTTTTTAATCATGCTTAACACTGGGCATTGTGGATTTGTGTAATCACAGGTGACATACTTATTTAGATGAGGCTGACGAGAGGTTTCTCTGCCACCAAATTTCTATCAAGAAGTTTCATTCCTATTTTCTAAGGAGGTATCTGAGCTTTGATTCATAGCAAGAAGATGGACTGGATCAGGTTATGGCAGAGCGAGAGAGTCTGTGCAGCATCAAGTCTGCACCTTGTTTCAGCCCAGTTTCATCTCGGTTACAGACTGATGCTGTAATGATGGCAGGCAGTGCGGCTCTAAAAGGAAAGGTAGGTTAACGTAGAGGACTTCCTAAACTGGGATCATGTTGAGAGGCACAGGTAGCAGGCACTGGAGTATTTGCTACTCTGCTCTCCTTCAGGCCTCTTCAAAGCAGTGATTGTACCAAAAGGTGTCATGAGCATTAGCCCTGTGGTAGCTGGAAAGGAAGGCACAGGAGAGCTGTCTTCGGCGTGCTGAGGCACAGGTCTGGCCTTAGTACTCATCTCTGCCAGCTGGCTCACTGCTCCATCAAGCGCACAGCTCAGGTTCATGGCTGTACTCAGGAAGAGCTTGAGGGGAGCAGATCTGGATCAGACTGGCAGGAGTTGCATTTGCCTGACTTCTACCCAGGAAGCTCTAGCATAAAAGATAGGCTGAAGAGTGGTTTGCCAAGGTATGAGTCGCTATAGTGACTTCTTATTTTCAGTTCCCCGTTGGATGTCTTAGGAATCTTACCCTTACAAGAGAAAATCCTGTTTGCTACTGGAGGAAGGACGAGTGGTGGTTTTAATACGTAACTGGAAGATACGTACTCTTTAGTTCATCAGCAGTCCCTGAAATATGATGCCTTCTTGCCTAAACTTTCAGCCGGTGCAGGTCACTTAGTCTTTCTGAGGAGCAGTTTCCAGCTGTGCAGCTTGTGCTCTGGGCTGGTCTGCCTGTGTATGTCGCCCGATCACAATGGATGCAGCTGTGGTTCGAGTCGACAAGGAGGGAGGGACTGTGGGGCCCCTGAAAAAGAAGGCAGCAGCAAACAGGTGATGGGCCACCAGCCATGACTTGCTCCCTGCTCCTGGCTCAAGAGTTTGCCATGAAAGCAAGTGGTGTGGGGTGCAAACTGTGGTCTATACAAAATGTTTCTGGTAGGTAGATTCATGGTTTTGGCCCGTGATATAAGGTTTATGTACTGAAAAAAGAGCAGTACTGAGCTTAGGTATGGTGGTTTCCCCCGTGAACATCAATGATACAATTTTTGTTTGTTGTGTTAGCACTAACATGGGTCTCCAAGCTGCTCAGTTAAGTTGATGTTTCTGGAATGATGGATGATATGTTCTTTTGCCATCCAGGGAGTAGGTGCTATACAGGAGGCTATACAGAGAAATATGAGCATTAAACCAGGATGCAGTAACCTTACTAGAGAGGAGGCCTTCTAGTCTGTTGCCAGAGGCTCTCAAGAGTAGTGCTGTAGGTGCTGTCTGTGTGGTAAAGATAGCTGTCAGCTGGATGGAACATTTTTGCTTTCGAAAAAAAGACTAATCGGTTGCTAAAAATTCCTCGGTGTTAGTACTCATTTAAATCTAGCCCAAGTCGGTGCCTCTGAGCCAGCGGGTTCTGTTAGATATTTTAAGAAATGCGGGGTTGGTACGTTCCTTGGGGAAGGCTGCTGTTGAATCAGTCCTGTTCTAACAACAAACTTTTTTTTTTTCTAATTTTAGGATACTTGTGAAAGATGGTGGATCGCTTGGCAAACAGCGAGGCAAATACTAGAAGAATAAGTATAGTGGAAAACTGCTTTGGAGCAGCTGGTCAACCTCTGACTATTCCTGGTCGTGTTCTGATCGGAGAGGGAGTACTAACAAAGCTGTGTAGGAAGAAGCCCAAAGCGAGGCAGTTCTTCCTGTTCAATGACATTCTCGTTTACGGTAACATTGTCATCCAGAAGAAGAAATACAATAAACAGCACATAATCCCACTGGAAAACGTCACTATTGATTCCATCCAGGATGAGGGAGACTTACGGAATGGTTGGCTTATCAAGACACCAACAAAGTCTTTTGCAGTTTATGCTGCCACCGCTACAGAGAAGTCCGAGTGGATGAACCACATAAATAAGTGTGTTTCTGATTTGCTTTCCAAAAGCGGGAAGACTCCTAGCAATGAACATGCAGCTGTCTGGGTTCCAGACTCGGAAGCCACTGTGTGCATGCGCTGCCAGAAAGCAAAATTTACACCCGTCAACCGTCGTCACCACTGTCGCAAGTGTGGCTTTGTTGTGTGCGGGCCTTGCTCTGAAAAGAGATTTCTTCTCCCGAGCCAGTCTTCTAAGCCTGTGAGAATTTGCGACTTCTGCTATGATCTTCTTTCTACCGGGGAGATGACTGCTTGTCAGTCCGCTAGATCAGACTCCTACAGCCAGTCACCTAAATCATCTTTAAATGATGTTTCTGATGATGATGACGATGATGACAGTAGTGATTAAGGACCAAATGTTTTTTCTATGTATTGCAAATTGTGTTTCAAACCATATGGAGCTGCTTTTGGGGAAGTCTATAGTGAGGTTCCTCAGAAAAATCCTGTTCTAGCCATAAAATATGCCTGAATATCTTCAATTGCGATGTGCCTCAATTTATGAATTCTCTAGATAATAGTTTTTTCACTCCTCTGCAGGGATAGACTGTTGCAAATGTTATCAGAATATTTTCCAACTTCTTATACTTGAGTTTTGTCTAGGTTAGACTTTTGTGGAAGATTGGAGAATAAAATGTACTTTCTTAATTTAACAACCCATACTTCCTAATGCTTCATATTGATACGTTGTTACGTGGGTTTTTTCGGATATGGGGAGGAAAACTGTAAACATGCATGGAACGGTGATGTTTTGGTTAATCCCTTAGACCATCTTGTTTTTCTAACCATGGTATATAATAAGTTGAAATGTGACATAACGTACAAACTCAAATGTCACAAAACTTGGAAATTGTCTTGTTTTGCTCTTATTTATGACTTCCTATGCCAAGCAGTGCCTTGTACCAATTGTGCTGATTCAGGAAGGAACAAACCTATTCTGTGTCATCTGTATTTGCCTGATGCTGGTATCTGAGAGATTGTTGGTGCTATTGAAAATAACTGCTGTGTTCAAAGTGGAGCTTTGACAAGGTCAGAACTGTACCCCACAGCGGGTGTTGGAGACCCGAATCGCCCGTCCTCACCTGTGTCGGCAGACCCGAAGACTCTGCAGGTTCCCACAGGCTTCAGCAGGGTTCTCCTTGCAGGAGTTGCATTGCGGGTCGGGATCTTGAAATGAGAAGCTTAGGGTGACTCTTCATGGGGATTTATACGTTTTCTTTTCAGAACAGTTTCTAAGTTTCAAATTTGGCAAATGCATACTAAAATTTTAGTTGGGTGATACAGCACTTGGATGTGATGGCCTTATATATTTTTTGAAAATATTCCCCCCAAAATGACACTAAACTTTGTTTCCCAAAACATTGATGAGAGGGCTGACTCCCCCCCCCGCACTTTTATTGGCTTGTTTAACCTCATATTTTGAACAAAAAGGCTGCAAGTATCCTTATAAAATTGGCTTTCCTTTTTACACAGCTGACCTCAGGATAAATGTGAGATGCAAGTTATTTCTTTCTAAATGTATACCCAGGACCAAGAAAGATGTATTTAAGAACTATAATGAAATTGTCAGTGCAGAAAATGTCTCTACCGTAGTATTCATTTTTATTTTTAATAAGTTCTTGAATACAGAAATGTCATGTTCCCATTTAAATGTAAAAGTTAGACCTGCAAAGACATGTTAAACCCCCAAATGCTATGTTTCTATATTTTTATAATGGTAGCATCAATTTTGAAGCAGAAAAACTTCTTTGAAATAGTTGTATGAATATAGTAGCAACTGACTTTATACGAAAAAATGTTAAACTTTTGTATCTCTTTAAGTGACAATTTCTGCACTGTTTGCCTTGGTTGGCAATAATTGGGTTAAATATTTATTGAATAAACAATCAATGCTGCATATTGCACTAGTCTCCCATTCTATATGCTGTAAATGTCAGTCATAATTTTTTTTCTATAAAAATTCGTGGAGCACTTCAAAGCCGTAGCTCTCCGTGAGATTTCTGGTAGCTAAAGATGCATGTAGCATCTTTAATACTCTACATTAATAGTCTGCAAGACATTGCTTCAGGTGAAAATTATGTTAGTATTTTTAGCTTGGGCAATTTCTAAGTACCAAGTTTTTTTAAAAGCACTGAAGAGTACTTGATCTACTTTGAAAGAAACATAAAAAGGGGAAAATGCCTTCTGATGGAGACTAGGGACCAGAAAGATTCTGTAAAGTTGCCAGATAAGCAATAAACAATTGTATATACTGAAAGACTAGCTGAAATAAGTAGTTATGTATACTTCTTGAAAGATGAGGGAGTGGTGACCTGCAGCAGGGGGAAATGGGCTATTTTGAGAAGTCACTTTCAGTTAATAGTGCTTGCTTTTTGTACCTCTCTTACTCAAGATTTATATTTCAGGAATGGAGACTTGTCAGCTTCAGTTTTTCTACAGACTCAAAGTACAAACCTCCCTTATACATCCCTTCTAATGACTAACAATCATTTTCTTCCTGATGCAATTGTTTCCTCTTTCTTAAGCTGTCAAATATTAACTTGTCTTGTTAAAGAGTCTTTCGCCTTGTGTACTTTTCCCTGTGTTTCTATATGTTGTGCTTACTTTTCAGCACTTTTTAGGGGATGGGAAGAGGGTTGCCAAGAGTTAGATCGCATCCTATATTTTGCAAAATTTTCTTGTACCTACTTCAAATATCTTTTTATCTGTGACTGAAACTTGCACTGTGCTGCACTGATCCCTGGAGCTGTAACCAAACCAATGCGTGCGTGTAGGATTTTTCTTCTGAAATTGATGTATATGGTCCAAGCTTTTATGAAAAAGCATTAAAAAAAAAAAGGTGTTTTATGGTAATACTCGTATCCCTCAGTGGTATTTGTTTAAAACTTTACAAAATGGACTTAACATTAACTTTTCTTGTATTTACAAATTCCTGAAAGGGCTCGTTTCATACTTTGCAATCTTGTTCTGTCAAATTATTTTATTTACAAATACATGGTGTAGCTTCAAGCCTATGTGTTTAATTTTCTTTAACTGTGGGCCTTCAAGGGTGACAGAAAATAGGGCGGCTATTTTTCATCTTGACAAGTAATTTAGCAGTGAGTTTATTCACTGTCAGGAAGGATTAATAAACTGGGAGTATAAGCATGCAGGAGGAGATTTAAGACTAAATTGGAAATAAATATACTTATGGATTTAGAAGCTGCTTATGTGTTTGAGTAACTTTAAAACAAGGATGACCAAGTGTGTTGCAGAGTTTGGCTTTTATTGGCCCGGTGTCAGCTCAGCCACTGGAAGAGGCTGGAGGACCCTTCCTGTGCACAGGGTGCTGAGCCCCCCAGCCCAGCGCTGCCGGTCTCGGCTCTGGGCCTCGCCAGAACACCACTGGGGACGAGACTTCTCGTGGTATCAAGCTGGAGAGTAACTTAGTACTTTTCCCAGAGCCTCTACACTCTTAAAATCTTAAATTAGTGATTAGATGTGATCAGTCGCTGCATATTTTAGGTACTACTTTTTGTTTGTGATAGGCTTAACCTGCTCTTTGGTTAAGTTTTCCCAGTCCCAATGGAAGGAAAGCAGCAGCAGTGCCTGCAGCATGTCTCTTGCGAGGCTCTGCAATCCGCTTCTGCTTTGTGGAAGATGCTGTGTTGGAGAAATAAGTACTTACTTGCTTTAGCCGAGTTCACATTTTGCACACTCTTTACTGGTACTTCATAGTTCCTTTGCTGGAAATGTTCAAGGAGAGGGACAAGTCTCTCTTCTGAAGGTTTTAATTGAAGCCTACTGATTTTTAGCTTCTGCACCTAAAGTACTGTTGTTATCTTAAGATTAATTAGACTGTTTTACTTTCAGGTTTGATGCAGCTGAACTTCCTGTAGCTAATGAGTAACCTGTGAGGGTCAAGCACTGTTACTCAGTTTTAAAATAAAGTTTAACAAAATGGGCGAGTGGATTAATGAGCGTTGAGTTTGCAGTGAGGCTTTCAAGGTCTCTAACGGGCTGATTATGAAAATGACATGCAGAAGCCTTGTCTTTATGTGGGGCTTTTCCTCTCGGAGGGATACGCTTTAATCTCTTAATGCAAATGAAATGGTGGTTATCATAGCTGCTGGTTAATGTTTAAGTGGAAGCAGATTATGGATCATATTATTGTGATTTTTGTATTTTCTTGTAATTTCCCTGAACCGATAGAAGAATGCCTGGTTCTGTTAGCAGATAGAGCTGGAAAAGAGTCAAGAGTACTGATTTCCTCCCCCCTTCCCAGTAGCAAATTATTGTAGTAAATATTAGACAGTCTCTTGACTGTTTACTGCCTTTCATTTGATGAAATCTGAGCTACTCGTGTGTGCCTGCAGCCGGTCTCATGCCAGCCCTGGCTCCCGTGACTCGCAGGGTACCGGCGCTCTCACCGCAAAGAATCTCTGCTCTGTTCCCGTGCCGTGATCGCCTTTGGAGCTGCTGGGGAGTGAGCGCAGCCACGGTGGGTCTGCCGTGCAGCCACCGACAGCTCTCCTGGACTGCACGTGCCTGAAAATACTCTTGAGCTCCACCAGGAATAAGAAATCTGAACCTCAGTCTTCAGAGTAGAGATTCCTTGGTTTCTAAATTACTTTCTAATTGTGAAATGCTACCTCTGCCCAGAGTAAGAATCAAAACGTTTCAACTGCACTTGGACACGTTTAGGATAAAAACTAACAATATAAATTGGTTGCATTGACAGTAAAATAATCTGCGAAGGAGCAGGAGGCATTTCAGGGTCACTTAGTTGCTTAGCTTGCCTAAGTGGAATAATCTTTCCATTGGGATAAAGTTTTACATTTATAAAACTTGCAGTTACTTGTATCTAATACTTTAAGAAACTCTGTTTCAGGTTGATTTCTGCAAGCATAAAAAGCTACCAAATAACAGCAGCAGCAAAACCTGAGGTGATGCAGAGAGGCCTGATCCCACTCGCCCTGTTCTGGGTCATTCTCAATTACACAGAGGGTAACTGGGTTAAATAGTAAGAACATATCTAAAAGAAACCTTCAGAGGTTTTACACAAGATAATACCCCCAGCCTAAGTAGTGTTCGGGCAGAAAGCAAGAGCTCATTTTATTCAGATGTTCTGAGGCATGACGCTAATGAGTTCAAGGGCTTACATCTTTCAACAGTCAGATCTTCAAGATCATCTGTTGACCTTTCTTAGGCAGTCTTTTTTGCTCGTGAAAAGTAGATGTAGTCAGCTCTATTACAGGTGTGAGTGGCTTGTTAGCAATTCAGTTTTAGCTTCTGGCTGAACTTACTATTTAGCTTTTTCTCTCCAAAAGCTGTTTCCTGTATGCAAATTTAATCATAGTCCGCGTTGTAGTAAGAGTCGGGGCTTCGCTGGCTGCTTTTTATAGAGCCTGGTCCTGCTGTTGAGCACTTCTAACCTGTGAGCTTGTAAGGGGCTTGCATAACAGCAGCAGTCTTGGGGAAAGCTGTTGAGCAGTGAAGGGGGGGACACCTGCTTGATCTGCTGGAAATATCAGTCGGTTCCTTCTGGTACCTGTTGGCTGCAGTCCAGGTCTGTGCTGTCTCCCCAGAATGACGGCTCCAAAATGAGCTGGGACACCTGCTTCTGTGTATATAAATATATAGGTAGAGACCTTTCCTTCCTTCCTTCCCTATCTGGCTTGCTTACGAACACGCTAGTAAATTAACATTGTCTGGAAGGAAAGATCTGGCCTCTCGGTCTATCGTGAGCATGCAAAGTGCTGTGGAGCTTACTGCCAG